TGAGGGGTTCAAGGGAAACTTAAAAGTACTTCAAGTTACTGGAAGTTCAAGTTATCTAGAGTTTGAGATATAGGGAGTTCACTGTATTTTCTTTCACCAATATGTTACACTAATTTTTATTTAATAAAATGTTGTATTAGTTTGTTCTAGTTGTATTTTTTTAATACATCCTAATAACTTTTTCCAATAACGTGTTCAGTAACAACCAAGTTAAACTGGGATTGGTATGATTGACAATCAGCGTGCTACTAAAAACGTATAATCTAGTATAAAAGGTAGTAGACGTGTCGAAGAAGTTCACCTTTCGCCTCTGGAATAGAGTGAATAAAAAAACAATTCTTATTAGCTCTTATAAATAGCTCTAAATGATGAAATAACACTGGATTAAGGGAAATAAAAAAAAAAAAAAAATGCATAGTTGTTGATTGGAATTGGTGAAATTGAAATTTTTCAATAAAACTTCAACTTTAAAGTGTGGGTGTTGACTGCATCCGGCTACTTTTTTGTAAAATGCGTCAACGGCAAAAAATTAGGGGTAAGTAGGAAATTTCTGTTGACCAATAGAAACTTTCTTAGTAAGGTTTTCAAAACTTCGTGGTAGCTCTCAGAGATGGCAGAGACAGTTGTAAAATATTAATATATATATGGTATTAATTTTATATATGGTATTAATTTTATATATATATATATATATATATATATATATATATATATATATATATATATATATATATATATATATATATATATATATATATATATATATATATATATATATATATATTTATATATATATATATATATATATATATATATATATATATATATAGTATTGGACAAAACATTTGCAACCAACATCGAACAATGCTAAAAAGTGTTCCTAATTTTACGTCCTTTTTTTTTTTTCTTTTTCCAACAATCATTATTATATATTTCAAAAACAAATAACATTTACATGTCTCCAGTTTATATAAATATCCCACACAAGTATTTACAATATACAAAGAGCGTTAACAAGTTACAATATATAAAGAGCGTTAACTGTTTTACGCATGCACATTTGACATCGAGTTAAAATAATAAACTAAAAATTCGTAGTTTTTAATATAAAGTGCTGGCTATTAGGCCACGCATTCAAAAAATATACGCACGTCCGTCGCACCACAGGGCTACTAGGGACTTGCTTGTCGTTGTCGTTGAAACTATATATTATTATAGTTGTAAGGAAACTCGCAGAAGACTAAGAAAAGTCTTTTAATCGAGAACCTTTAAAATACAAAATAAATTAAAAGTGTAAAGAGTAAATCTATAAAACACACTAACTTTTTGAAATCATCTGTTCAGTAATATTTTACTATGTATAGTTGCTAACTATATGTATTTATTATATATATTTTTTTAATATAATGTCTTAAAAACGAAACAAATTTTACTACCACAGCAAACAGTTTAGAAGTCTGGAGTCATAGCATGCCATGATGTGAGTAATCAGCTGACAGGTGACAGCACACAGATAGAATTTTGTTGACAAGGACCATTTTGAAGCGGACAAAACAAGTGCAGCTTTTTTGGTTTGTTTCATTTTCTTAAGTCTGGTCCGTGTCAACGTCACGGAAGTTTTTTACTAACTAAAGGAAGTATTCAGAAGTTTCCAGAAGCATGCAGAAGCTTCCAGAAGTTTCCAGAAGAAGCATTTGGAAGCATCCAGAAGTATCCAGAAACATTCAGAAGCATCCAGACGCCTCCAGAAGCATCAAAAAGAACCATCTTGAATCTTCCAGAACAGGTTCACACAAGTTCATTTTACTATATAAGAGACATGTAAACCGACATGTAATTCAGTCAGTATATGGAAGTCAATCAGTCAGTATTATCAAGACAGTTTATCAAAGTGAGTTTTATCAAAGTGTTCTATCGAAGAACATCAATACAAGAAGTGATATACAACAAGTGTTTCATTACATCAATACATTTCACATCCAACCAAGAAGTTGTGTTCCACAGAGCATTATTGTATCATCTCAAGGTGAATATAACATGGTAAGCCTTGAGAAGCGTGATTATTTATTTTTATTATTTTTATGACTTCAAGTGCAAAAATGGCTCCCGACAGTCTTGGATTGGAACTAAGAAAGAAAATTATTGGCGATTACGTAAGTGGAATGTCACAAAAAAGTATTTGTGATAAACATCGCGTGAAAAAATGGACCGTATCAAGACTATGTTCCAAATATCGTTCTACGGGAAAAGTAGCAGCAGATAACTAAGGTGGAAGATCGCATTCCTCCACTTCTAGAGAGGATTCTATAATCGTCTGATCCGTCAAGAAGGATCCCTGGATATCATCAGTCGAGATACAAAAGCAATTAGAGCTGCCTGTATCGGACCAAACAATCAGACAACGTGCTGTTGAAGCCGGATTGTTTTCTCGACGCCCTGCAAAGAAACTGCTGATTTCACTAAAGAACCAGAAAAAAATACTCCTGTTTGCTACAAAGACTCTCATATTGACTGGAATGTGCAGAAATGGCGAACTCAAACTTGAACTCAAACTTTCTTAATAATTTAATGGCACATTACAAATTAAACATAAATAGTATTTATTTTTATCTGTAATGAACTTAAAAAAATGTTAAAAAATACAGTGCTTTAAAAATATTAATGTAGAAAAATAATACATGCTGCTCACGGTGCATAGAAACATGCTCTTAGACTTTGTAACACACCAATAAATTATAATCCTCTTTTTTATTGCAGAATCTTTTTTTAATTGTTCCTTCAGTATTTTTTAAATTATAACATCGGAGCTCTATTCAGTTGATTTTTTAATGTTTTCTTGGTTTCCAGTATCTGAGTTCTTATATTTCTTTCTCTTTTTCTATTTTTTCTTTGGTTTATTAGATTCGTTTATTGGAACATCATCTGTAACTTTTCTTATGTAATGTTCTTGTATGTCAGCGTTTTCAATGTTTTCTAGTTAAATGATGTTCATCGGTGCTCTGTGATAAGATCGTAAGTACTTCTTGAAGCGCCTAAATAACTAATAATTTAAAAAAAAATCCCTTTGACAAGGCATGAAGTAGTTAAGTTTAGAATTTGCAAAATGCCTATAAGTGTCTTATCTGAAATATCAAAAAACCCTGTGGGTGCCCATGTGTGCCACACATGGGTGCCCATGTGTGCTTAAACTTTTTCTGAGATTTATTTATAATTTATTTTAAATTTAAAAAGCGAATGTAAAAAAAATTGTAACTGATTTTTTGTTACGTAACTTAAGTTGCAATCAATCATTTTACAATAAATGCATTTTTTGAAAATATAACGTATTACACAAATTTCATTTTTTAAAAATACATTTTTTTTCACAAGTTTAAATATATATTTATTTAGATATATCTGCGTTCTAACTTTTCAGCCCATTACTTATACAAAAATTATGGAAAATTTTGATTAAAGCTAATAATTTTAACGCAAAATTAAGACGAAGTCAGGGCAAAATATATTACAGAAACTTTTTGCTAAATATTTTCGCATTAGTAAAATATGACTCTAATGAATGCTGAAATAAATATATGATTGACATAGGTTAACAGCTCTTAGGTAGATATTTTTTAATTTCTGCTGCATTATTAAATAAAGTAAAGATAAATAATAGAACAGAACCAAGTTTAAAAGCTTATAGTTAAAAAAAAACACACACATATGGAAATAAAGATGTTATAGGCTAAAATATTTATGTCAACTTTTATATATATTGACTTTGTTATGCTATTTGCATAATATGTTCGAACAACGCGAAAGGAAATGTTAAATTAGATCTCTAATGAAGCTAAGAACATTACTTTCTACCATTTTCTGTAACATTTTATTACAATTGTATCCAGTTTAAGTATATTTACGTAATAGAAATGTGTTTAAAAGCTAACAGTTGATTAGTTTGCACAAAATGAGATAGCAAAATAATCGTTTTTTTTTTTATTTGTTATTTTAGGTGCCCCAAGAAGTTCTAACGGTTTTATCACAGAGCACCGCGGAAGTGCATTTAACCAGTAAGTTCACGCCTCTTTCCTTACCGTGACGCGAAATAAATCTCGTTTCGAACCTGAACCTCCTGCTTAAAAAGCAAGCACTCTAACCACTGCGCCACGGCCGCACACTCAAATTCTGAGTTTTCACTTGCTTGTATTTTGGTGTTGTAAGTTTTGTTAATTAAAAATGTTTAAGCAAATCAAAAACACTATGCCTGTAGCAATTTATAATGATGGTTTACACTATAGTTTGACCGTTAATTTTTGACGCCTTACTTAAAAATTGAACACAAATAAATAATATAAGTTTTAAAATCAAAGAATCAATGATATCGCGATATCAATGAAGAATATTCGAATTTTTCTAAAGTAGTGAAATTAACTTAAGTTTCAAACAGAAATAAAATGGCTATATAAATATAGAAAATGTATATTTAATATACAAAAATTCTTACAAAAGATAATATAGAGGGTAATAAAAACGAAATTTATGTACAAAATATTTACAAAGTAGAAAATTAATTTATAAAAATTTAAAATTATCTCAAAAATTTAAAACTTTAAAGAGTAAATTCGTAACTCTTTTATTTTCTTTTTTATTTTCTGATTTTAGAGTTACGAATTTACTTTTCTTTTTCTGTTCTTAAGTTCGTTCTCATATTCTTTGGCGTATTCACGCATCCCAATTTCTCTGCGGTGTATCCAATATCCGAGCAAAAGTAAAGACAGAAGTAATATTATATTATGATGATATCTTGAACGTAAGCACTTCCAAAAATCATAAAACTGACCTTTAAGAATAATGAAATTGAATTAATTAAAAACAAATTAAAACAAAAATCAATAGCTAGACGCAACGCTGCCTCTTCAGCTTCTAACATTACAAAAAGAACTCATCACGGTATAATATCAGTGTACATATTTTTATAAATATTTAAAATTTTTAAAACCAATATAATTTTCGCTGCTTAT